CCAAGGCATTTTTATGTGAATATTTCCTTTGCACAACACCTGTACTTTCTGACCGTCACATCAAATTCAGCCATGCTGAAAACCTGAGCATTTCCAGCCTGCAAATACTTTTGAATCAGCCAGTTGCCAAGTTGCCAGTTAGAGATTTTTGAGAGAAAATTATCACAAGTTGCGAGCTAGATATTTTTGAGAGAATTATCACAAAAGCACGGACATTTCTAGCCTGAACGCCACCTGAAAGACGCAGTGCGCAAAACAAAAATATGAAGCTATCTTACATGCTATGAAGTGAACAATATGTTTCCTATTTATAGTTTACATCAGCCCCTTCCACCTTCCAGAGACCAGTGGTACATCAGAGATTCTTGCTGTCAATCCAACATAACCAACCAGAAAATGATGTTTGAGCTGTAGTACATTTGCCATTTAGAGGGCTCTCTTAAAGAATATTGAGCATCATACTGTTTTCCATGCAGATCCTCCTCATGAAACGCTAGCCGTCCAACTTTGTCTGTGCCGTAGTGTTGCATCCTAAATTTTCTAATCAAGCTGATCACGGGAGCAACAACAGTATCTGCCAGATGCAGAGAAAATCAAAGATGAAGTGACTTTACATATTGATTTTTTAATGCTGAACACAGAGTATAAGAGTGATGCATGGTGCACATGCAATCATAATTAATACATAAAAAAATGTAAATTACAGTGACATCCTTTCATTGTTGTGGTGATACCATGCTTCTACCGTTCTAGGTATTAACCTACTTGAAGAATTTACAGTATCCAAGAATATGAATAAGACATATTGAAAACAGAAAATTTCGAACTTAGATTCTATCTAACAAAGAAAGAACCATGGAAACAAAAACTAGTTTATTGGGAACGTTGGATTTACTCAGAAAACTATGGTGCTGAACATTACTTCACAAGAGACTATGGGGAATACTGATATTTGAATGGATAGCTCTGGAAGACAAAAAGATATGTGAAAGAGAAAAAATACACATGAGCTCCTGGGTGCTCCACACCCCTATACGAAAAATAATCGTAAAAAATACCCAAAAAATCAAAAAAATCTGAAGTTTGAGGATATCAAAACGGGGTTCCCAATCTACTCCTGTGTGAAATTTCGTGAAAAAATTCCCAAAAACATATCCGTGGCGAAGGAAATACTGTCGGAACAAAAATCTACCCAAACAGATTTTTCTATACATAGAAAATTTTTGTCTTTTTTGCCACGAATACGTTTCCTGGTATTTTTTCACGAAATTTCACACAGGAGTAGCTCGGGAACCCATGTTTGATATCCCCAAATACCAGATTTTTTTTTCAAATTTCTCTGTATTTTCTTGAATGAATTGTTCGTATAGGGGTGCGGAGCACCCAAGTGCTCCAAATCCTCATCCATGTGAAAGAAGACTAAAATCAATGCTGTTCGGTCTATATAAGTATCTGAAGGAAAAAAATGGTGATATGGATATTCCATAAAATCAATGGTTGAGCAATAAACAAAAATTATATTCACTTCAATAAAATGTACCTAAGCATACGCTAAATCTATAAGCTCTAGTAGAAAGTAGGAAGTTGATAATTAATATTCTTGTTTTAGTAACAAATAGTTGATGTCTGTGTACTATTTTGGTAGCAACAAATATTTCATGTGATAAAATAAGAAAAATCATTCTACGATGAATCAGAATTCATGCTTTGATTTCATGCAGAAAGTAAGCCATTGCTTTCCATTATTTTACATGGAAAGCTGCATAGCTAGTCATAGGTTTTGCTAAGAAAAATATCATAGAGGTTAGTCGGCATCAATAAGAAAATATAGCTAAGGCACATTATAATCCATTCTGATTCTGCAGCTACAGAGCCAAGATACTTCTCATCTCTTCAAGTTAATATAAGTCCCAAAATCAGTACATTAACCCAATTATCTTATAGCCAACTGTTCTCTTCAAGCTAATGAATATGCTCCAATGCCTGTCATCTCAGTACTAGCTATAATGTTTGTACATTTTCTTTTGGCTAAAATGTTGTCCGCAAGCTAATATAAATCCCAAAATCAGTACATACCCATTTACCGTATAGTCAACATTTTATTGCTTAATTCTATCAGTACGACTGAGAGGACCAGAAACCACAAATATCTAATAATGAATACAGTAATTATCTCTTGTTGCTTAATCTAATAGTTAACATTTGATGGGTCACAATAGCTAGAAAGAAATACACCATACGGCCTGACTCGTTAGATGCAATAAAATTGACACCTCTGTTTATGGAAGATGGAAGAAGATTACTAACCTGCAAGCAGCTGTAGGTCAGAGCTGGAGGAGAGCACAAAGTGGTCGCGGCCGAACCAGTGCCGCCGCGAATATCACCTAAGTTGTCGCTGTGACCAGCCGACCAACCAGGAGGGAAGATTCTACTACCCGCACGTCTACTACGAACCAGACTGGGAACTGAAACAACTGAAAATTATTGAAGCAAGCAAAGATGGCTACATATACCCACATAACCAACTTGAGTAGATGAATGATTAGTGTCAGAGCTCCAGGACGCTGGTTGTGGTGGCCTCCAGCTTGCTGGTCAAGTCCTTAGCCACTAGGGCCCCTTCAACTCCACCACCGGGAGAACCCACATCCACGGCTGGTAGTCAAATCAAATCAGGACCTCGAGGGGCGCCGGAGCAAGCAGATCAGGAGCACCCAGGTGCACGGATATCAATTTGGGAAGAACATGACAAAGGGAAATGTAAGTGGAAGCTAACTGGAATTTGGGAACGGAAATTACTAAAATAGGGGCTGCTCACCTCCTCCCATGCACTGAAAGCCCAACCAAACTTCAATCCAAAGAGAGGCAATGCTGTCATGTAGTAGCCCATGCACGGACGCCTAATGCGCTGCCGTGATCACCTGCCACAGCTCCGGCGGGATCACCATCCACATCTCCGTGCACAGCGGGGCCCAGACCTATGCAGACACCACACACCACGCCGCCCCAATTGTCCAGCGACCACCCAACACCGAGACCATGCCGGTCGAGCAGCATGCCTTCCCGCCAGCATGCCAAACAATGGCTTCACTCCAAGCCAAATCGCCGCCGAGCACAACGCCATCGTTCGCCCGAAACCGTATGCAGTAGATTAGGGAAAGACGGAGAGGTGGGGAAAAGACGAGGAGTTTTTTTTTAAGCAAAAAAGGACGAGGAGGAGGGCAGGCATCGAGTCCAGTCAAGTCATCAAACGTAAAAAAACCTCCATCCCATTGTAATTTTAGGGTGAGGGGACGTACGGTGGGCTTTTGCCTCGATCAAACGAACGGTGGCTTGGTTGGCTCGGTCGATCGACCAGGGTGAAGAATTACTTATTCTTCACCCTGGGTTATTAATAGGCTTTCATAATATATTTTTTAAATGTTAATCATGCTTTGAAAAATGTTGAATGTGTATATAAAAAATGTTTACTATGTATTAAGAAAATGATGAAATATATTGATCATGTATATAAAAATGTTAATAAAGCATTTGAAAAATGTTGAACAATAATTGAAAAAATGTTGAAAAGGTATTAAAAATGTCGAACAAGTATTTGAAAATGTTGAATAAGTATTAAAAATTGAATGGGTATATGAAAAATGTTGAAGAAATACTTGAAAATGTTGAGTAAGTATTTGAAAAAAATGTTGAATAATTATTAAAAGATGTTGAACGAGTATTTGAAAATGTTGAATGGGTATTTGAAAAATGTTGAATAAGTACTAAAATTTTGAACAAGTATTTGTAAAAATATTGAATAAGCATTCGGACAATGTTAAACGTGTATACAAAAACTATTGATCACTTATTAAAAAAATGTTTTTGACACACACGAAAATGTAGAGTGGAAACGAAAACAAACATAAGAAAAAAAGGAGAAGAAAAAGAAACCAAACAAAAAGTGGAAAGAAAACAAAATGCAAGAAAAATGAAGAAATAAAATGCAAGAAATAATGAAAAAATGGAGAAGAAAAAATTAAAAAAGAAAAGAAATCAGAAAAAAAACTGGATCGAATAGCCTCAAGTAGGATGCGCCCTACAACTTACCACTAGGGGGATCCTAGGTGGAGTTTTTTGTAACATAATAACTTTATTCATCAAATGATAGCCAGATCGTTTACATATTGATGAAGAATAAAGCCAGGGATGATTTCCCGCACTTCAGACTTGCTAGAATTAATCCAGTGTTTAGCTAATGCATCCGCCACCGCATTGGCCTCTCTGCTGCAATGATCAAAGGTGATACTAGCAAAATCCAGTGCCAAGAGGGAACACTCAGCTATGACAGGCACAGCCAATCCCATATATGCGTTTGGATCCTAGGCGGAGTTGCTAGCAGCACCCGATCGCGGCCTGGAGATCAGGGATCAAACCCTGGTTCTCCCATTTTCTCTCCTATATTTTTAATCCCTACGCGCGCACCAATGGGCCGGTCCAATATGACGCAGGTGGAGGAAAAACTCAGCGAGAGTTCCCCTCTCGCCTCGCTTAAAGCGACAAATAGTCGCCGCGGGCGCCCGACAGCGCCCGCCTGAGCAGATCCCACGAAGCCCAGTCAAACAGAGCTGGGCTGGGCTACTACTTACTGTACTAATTAAGCAGGCTGGGCTCAACTGAAGCCCAGATCAAGCAGCGGCGGAAGCAGAGAGAACAATCCTTTGCTTTGATCCCAAGTCACTTGACGACGAGTGGCGGCATGTCCATCGATCTGAACTCACCTGATCGACCGGGAAAACAATCCATGGATCCTTTGCCCGCGTCCTCAAGCCTCGAATCGCTTGCAACTCCTGCCATTCCATTCCTCCCCTCCCCACGCACGCAAGCTACCCTCCTCTGCTCCTCTCCTCTGCTATATATGCATCCCACCAATCAATCCATCCACCGATCCATCAGCCTCCATTGCTAGCCAGCCACCCCATTTCTCTCCACCTAGCTTAACAACCACCGCCGCCGCCGTTGCCATGGCTTCCAACAACACCAACGCGGCCTCCGAGGTGAGCAACGCCATCACCGACCTCAACGACCACCTCGCCACCGCCCTCGGCACCGGCGACGAGGGCAAGACCACCGTCATCACGCTCGCGGGGGAGAACGACGGCGCGGCCATGGACGCGGAGGACCTCGTCGTCGTGGAGGCCGGCGGCGAGGGGGAGGAGGGCGAGGAGGAGGAGGAGGTGCAGGTGGCCGCCTACACCAACAGCAACTACCAGGCGGTGAACAACTCGGTGCTCCTCGCCGGCAGCTGCGCCGTCAGGGACCCCGGCGTCCACGTCGTCATCGTGGAGCACGTCGACGACATCCGCGACTGCGACGGCGACGAGATCTTCGAGGACGGCGAGGTGGCCAACAAGTGAGGCAATCTATCGAGCGGTGCGGATGAAGATGTTCTGCTTCTACTCAATTTGGTCGGTCGGTCGGTCGGTGGCTTCTTCGGGCCGTCTGGAGATGCTGCGTACTACCCTGAGTCGTTTGGAGTTTATTTAATTTCTATGTATGCGTTTGGTCATGCACATGTATGCATATGTTTATGTATTGCATTTATATGTATACGTCCTAGTGGGTGTCTGGAAACATATTTGTATGTTATGTAAGTTTGCTTCATGTGCGGTTCAGAAATATTCACTACTCCTAGCTTTTAAGGTCCACGTGTAATGTGTCTGAAGCCTACGTGTTTCAGGCTCACTTTTTATGTAACTGCTTTCGACCATTAATTTAACGGCAATGCTACGGATTGCTGATCGTTTTTATGCATTAGTTTTACAGGCTGACATTACAGTTTGTGTTTAGAAAGGGATTGGGGAGGTTAGGGTGGTGCAGAGAGGTCAGGAAATTTTATCTGTAAAATTCATCCATAAGTTCACCATTATATATGTGTGGTCTTCACCGGTTTTCTTAATTAATCGGGTTTGTTTCGTTTGTGGGTCCGGTATCCCTTATTAACTGGATCAACTCTCTTTTCCTTTCTATAATGCAATGCGGGAGCTCCCCGCCCTTTTCGCCAAAAAGTTCACCATTTTTTTATTAATTTTTTAGTAGGCCCTTGGCTGCTTCCGTAAAAAAAACCGTGCCTCTAAAATATCTGAGTAAAATCCATATATGTATGTTGCAAGATGGAGTGCCTGCATGTAGTTACAATAAATGAATGATTATTATCAATCAGTGTATTTTTGTAGAAAAAAAATCAATCAGTGTAGAAATAAAAGTAAGAGTAAGAGTAATTCTACTTTTCACAAAAAAAAGAATAAATTCTACTTAGAACCTCTAAAGATTACGATGGTGAGTATCCCACCTAAGAAACGAGCAAAATGCACTGCCGGTACAAGACCTTGAGAAACATTGATTCTTAGACCAGAACTGTGGCGTTCAATAGACCCTCTCCGGCGTTTTCTTTTTTGGGCGACGATTGCTAAGGAGATCGTAGCCACTGGTGCCGTCTCGTCTACATCAGCAACGAAACACATTCTTGAGCCACTAGTTGTAGCCATTATGTGAGTCCACCACAAATGGATGCCCTCATCCATTTGAGGTGGACTCACATAGAGTGCATGCCAACTAGGCCGACCCAATCGGATGCAGCAAACAGAAATGGACTGTAGCAATTGAATAATGTAGCACCCTGTTTCACTGTAGCAACCGGTTTAGTGTATCAAACCTGGTTTTCAACCTGTTTTTTATTTCAAACTTCTTGAAACAAAGATTCAACTTTTCCTAATATACAATGAATAATTTAATAATGCATGCTAAACTTTTTGTAATATACGATAAACATTTTTTTAATATGGTGAACTTTTTGTATATCAAACAATTTTTTGATATACATTGAACATTTTTGTGATATACGTTGAATTTTTTATACACGATGAACATTTTCTTTATAATGGACGGTGAACCTTTTTATAATATTGGGTGAAGATTTTCTTAATATATGATGAACATTTTTGTAATACATGGTGAACTTTTTGTATAATACACAAAAAAAGAGAAGAAAAAACAAAAATGAAAAAATAAAAACAACAAAGAAAAAGGAATCAAAACAAAAACGAAATGAAACCACTAAAAACACTGAGAAAACCATAAGCAAATCCCTACAGAAGAAAGAAGATGCAGCGAGAAAAGATGTCGGCCCAACTGGCTCCACTGCGGGCATTGCATCGACAATTTGCCGCCCGGTGGTGGCAAATAGGATGAGTTCAAACAAGTTTGCTATGTTAAGACAGAGGCCTGGAGAGACGACAACGAGTTTTCCTCATGGTGGGTCGTCAATGGATGCAGGAGGTAGGAAACTTCGACACCCCCAAAGATTTGGATGTATTATTTTAAGTTTCTATAGGGTGTTTTTGTAATGGTTTGGGCTACTTAATATATGACATTTTAGCCTTTTCTCGCAAAAAAACTCATGAATTGTGCTCATTTTAGTCCACATTGCAAGCATGACACCCTGAGTCAGCTTGCGAGTGGTTTAGGTGGGACGAATGTCACTCAGAAGGATGATAGAGGGCACGTGGGGGGTGCAACACATTCTTGAGAAAACCACCTCGGTTTTCTCCTAATTCTGGATTCAGGTCATCCTGCTTGAAGCCCAATATTGGGTAATATCCACTTCAACCCGAGGAAGCACCAGACAGTGTTTGGGCGTCACCTCGAAGCCCTGATATTCCAGGATGGAAGTAGTGACTTCACCATAGAAATGTTCAGAGCAAACTCTCGATACTCTGGGACAAGATGTACATCGAGAGACTCTGGGGCAAAAGTGCCAGCGATCTCAACTACAAGAGAGACAATAAATCAAAGAAGAAGAATGATAGGCTATAGGCTCAATCTTTTTGGCCTTGGACGACAAGAGGATGGAATGGAGCACTGAGCATATTCTCTTCCACCTTCAACATCCCCTTCAATAGTGTGTCTTTCCCTAAGACTCGGAAATAGCTTCACAAGATCACTAAAATAGAAGAGAAGTAAATATATTCAGTGAAGCCATTTCTTTGCTTTTTGTGGGTGATGTTTGGCAATCATCACATGTCAGGCTAAACATTTTTATACATTAAACATGTACATTAGACCCTAGATGTTCTTTCACATTTCCTCCCATTTCAGCAGGATTTTGACAACATTTTAAAACAATAACAACGACATAATAGTTCAACATAACATCACATAGTAGTTCAACACAACTCACATAAATTGTGATACAAAGTTAACTCCATACCATGAAAGTATTATGACCCTTCAACTTGGAGTTTGTATCCTCCATGGACAATGATCTTCATCGAAACATCTAGCAGAAGATGTCACCGTGTCACTATACTTTGTGTTCAAAGACCAATCTGTTGGGAAACGTAGTAATTTCAAAAAAATTCCTACGCACACGCAAGATCATGGTGATGCATAGCAACGAGAGGGGAGAGTGTGTCCACGTACCCTCGTAGACCGAAAGCGGAAGCGTTAGCACAACGTGGTTGATGTAGTCGTACGTCTTCATGATCCGACCGATCAAGTACCGAACGCACGGCACCTCCGAGTTCAGCACACGTTCAGCCCGATGATGTCCCTCGAACTCCGATCCAGCCGAGTGTTGAGGGAGAGTTTCATCAGCACGACGGCGTGGTGACGATGTTGATGTTCTACCGACGCAAGGCTTCGCCTAAGCACCGCTACAGTATTATCGAGGTGGACTATGGTGGAGGGGGGCACCGCACACGGCTAAAAGATCAACTGATCAATTGTTGTGTCTATGGGGTGCCCCCCTGCCCCCGTATATAAAGGAGCAAGGGAGGAGGAGGCCGGCCCTAGGAGGGGCGCGCCAAATGAGTAGGATTCCTACTCGTAGTTGGAGTAGGTTTCCTCCTTTCCTAGTCCAACTAGGAGAAGGGGGGAAAGGGGGGAAGAGGTTGTCCAATTCGGACTGGGCTTGGGAGGGGCGCACGCCACCTCCTGGCTGCTGCCTCTCCTTCCCACTAAGGCCCATTAAGGCCCAATACTTCTTTCCCGTATTCCCGTAACTCCCCGGTACTTCGAAAAATACCCAAATCACTCGGAACATTTCCGATGTCCGAATATAGTCGTCCAATATATCGATCTTTACGTCTCGACCATTTCGAGACTCCTCGTCATGTCCCCGATCTCATCCGGGACTCCGAATTACCTTCGGTACATCAAAACTCATAAACTCATAATATAACCGTCATCGAAACTTTAAGCGTGCGGACCCTACGGGTTCGAGAACTATGTAGACATGACCGAGACACGTCTCCGGTCAATAACCAATAGAGGAACTTGGATGCTCATATTGGCTCCCACATATTCTACGAAGATCTTTATCAGTCAAACCGCATAACAACATACGTTGTTCCATTTGTCATCGGTATGTTACTTGCCCGAGATTCGACCGTCGGTATCTCAATACCTAGTTCAATCTCGTTACCGGCAAGTCCCTTTACTCGTTCCGTAATACATCATCTCGCAACTAACTCATTAGTTGCAATGCTTGCAAGGCTTAAATGATGTGCATTACCGAGTGGGCCCAGAGATACCTCTCTGACAATCGGAGTGACAAATCCTAATCTCGAAATACGTCAACCCAACAAGTACCTTCGGAGACACTTGTAGAGCACCTTTATAATCACCCAGTTACGTTGTGACGTTTGGTAGCACACAAAGTGTTCCTCTGGTAAACGGGAGTTGCATAATCTGATAGTCATAGGAACATGTATAAGTAATGAAGAAAGCAATAGCAACATACTAAACGATCGGATGCTAAGATGATGGAATGGGTCATGTCAATCACATCATTCTCCTAATGATGTGATCCCGTTAATCAAATGACAACTCATGTCTATGGCTAGGAAACATAACCATCTTTGATCAACGAGCTAGTCAAGTAGAGGCATACTAGTGACACTCTGTTTGTCTATGTATTCACACATGTATTATGTTTCCGGTTAATACAATTCTAGCATGAATAATAAACATTTATCATGATATAAGGAAATAAATAATAACTTTATTATTGCCTCTAGGGCATATTTCCTTCAGTCTCCCACTTGCACTAGAGTCAATAATCTAGATCACATCGCCATGTGATTTAACATTAATAGTTCACATCATCATGTGATTAACACCCATAGTTCACATCGTCATGTGACCAACACCCAAAGGGTTTACTAGAGTCAGTAATCTAGTTCACATCGCTATGTGATTAACACCCAAAGAGTACTAAGGTGTGATCATGTTTTGCTTGTGAGAGAAGTTTAGTCAACGGGTCTGCCATATTCAGATCCGTATGTATTTTGCAAATTTCTATGTCTACAATGCTCTGCACGAAGCTACTTTAGCTAATTGCTCCCACTTTTAATAT